GAAATGAGACATGAGGAAATGTACAGATCGATCAGGTAGAGTAGGTGTCCATCACTTTGGGGGGTTGATATATTTACACATTGACTATATATATATATATATATATATATATATATATATATATGAAATGAAAATGAAAAGAATGCGAAACCGCTATAATGGATAATTGTAGATAACTGGGATAACATTAAACTGAGCGGGGTGGGTAGTGATAGGTAGGCTACTGCTCAGATATACCAAACTTTGTTTAACTTTGGCTTCCGTACCCAACCCTCTACATTGCCCTTTATTCCGACCTGTAGTAGTCCCTCAACTTGGATGTCGCTCGCCTTAGGTCGTTGCCAAGTAGCTCGGTAGGTAGTTTGCCACAAAATAGATTGAATATTCTGAAGCCTCGTCGGCCACTGAATCTGGGGGCCTTCAATGTGAGGACTATGATGCAGGTACGTCAACAAGCACGTCTGGCGCGTAAAATGGACTCTTTGGGACTGGATGTCTGCTGCGTGTCGGAGATTCGAATCCAGGATTCTAGTACTATATGCCACTTAAGTGTACTGGGGGTGTCTTCGAGGTTCTTCCTTCGCACATCAGGTGATGACGAAACCCGTTCAGTAGGCCAGCGTGGTGTGGGCATAACACTCTAAGTAATGTACCACGTAATGGATTGCAGATTCGAAAATCTCGTCACTCACTTAATCTGGGAGCCTTCAACGTGACGACTATGATGCAGGTAGGTCAACAAGCTTGTTTGGCGCGTACAATGGGATCCTTAGGGATCGATATTTGCCGCGTGTAGGAAACTCGAACCAGGATCCTACCATTTTTAAGCCACTTGACCGTGCCAGATCTATCTTCGAGATAGGTTCTTCGCACATCAGGCGATGATGAAGGTCGTTCAGAAGGCCAGCGTGGGGTAGGTATTGCACTCAGTAACAGGGCTGAGTCCTCTCTTGTCGATTGGATCCTCATTAAAAGCCGTTTATGTGCAGTTCGTCTCAGGGGTTCAATCAGCGTCCGTAAAAGAGGCAACACCAAAAGGCGTTGGTTCGTCGTATCAGCATATGCACCGACCAACTACAGTTTTGATGCACAACAGGACGCTTTCTACGACTAACTCATCGATCTCATTCGGATGAGTCGAAGCTCCGACATAGTTGTACTTGCAGGTGACTTGAATGCGTAGGTTGGAAAACTGAGTACATCAGATGCTTGCCTAGGCGGTAGTTATGCTCTGCCCTTCCAACGAACAGATAATGGCGACCGACTTCTTCAGTTCTGCGCAGACGATCATCTGTTCCTATCCAGTACCAAGCTCCAACCCAGCTCTCTCGGCGCGCATACAGAAAGCTCGGTTGGTTATTACCAACTTGGGACATCTGTCGCAAGTGGTCGACTTTCATAGATTATGCTGGTTGAGACATGTGCAACGCATGCCACCAAATAGGTTGTCATAGCGAGCGATAATAACCGAGGCAGGTGGCGATTGGAAAATGATCAAGGGTGGCCAAACTAAGACCTGGCACGACGGAATGAAAACCCTAACCAGGAGATTGGCTCACATAGGTACCGTTAGGATCCCTGGCCCCGAGATCATGGTCACCGAGTGTTAGAGATACTGAGCGATATGGTTAGGTGTCGCAAACAGTGGCGCTCAAGCATTTACTCAGTATCCTCGTATCTTCAATCTATATGAATTCACTATCTTCCGCTGTCAACATCCTAATCTTCATTTTGCTCTTTTATCCAAATGGGCAACCAAAAGACAACAACCAAAACTGGCGCTCCAGTGTATGGTTGATGGATTTGAGAACAGAACAGAACAGAACAGCTCTCGACAGACTGCAACGTGGCGCTCCAGTTCAACTGGTACCCTAACTCAAATCGACCACATAACACTGAGTTACCGTTGGCGTGGCTCAGTGCAAAATGGCAGGTTCTATTGGACCACCTGCGTTGAGTCCAACCACGCATTGGTTTTGATGTAATTCACTCTTCGACTGACTGGTCGACGGCAAAACCAGCAAATTCGGATAGCTCATCATTCACAGTTCTTGCACGATATGAGTCAGAGCTAGTGCGTGAACTAAGTGTGCAGCTCATCGGATCATACGCCCTTCGGACGGGGTCAAACGTCCAAGGTGCCCAATACACCTCAATGCCCAATTGAGCCAGTGACCGTCGCCACAACCGACAAGGTGTGAAAGTGGTTCGTCCGCCTCCTCTTGATTGGTTTGAAATCAGGGTTTTTGGCCAACTTCCCTCGGTGAACTGCCAGTATTCCACCGACCCGGTTATAGCCCCGGATGTCGGCTTTTCTTCCTCTGACTTTGTTGGGAAAGCACATCCGTCGCGAGAATGCAGTGAGTAGGGCTTCTTCAGCAGAGGCTGTTTGAGAGGCTTGGTCGTATGGGAGCATTTCGTGAGGTGCAAGGGAGGGTGTTCAGCCGCAACCCTAGATACCCGCCTCCGACCATACGGAGGATTTCGGAGGCCTTGGCTCGAGCACCTTGGATTATTTAGCTTACATGCAAATCGTGGAACGTTTTTCTTTTTATTAAAATTATTGTACCGCGATCCTTGACACACATTGATCTCCACGTGAGTAAGATACATAATGTATAAACGTTTACCAGTTCAATAAAATAATGTTTATTTTTGTTATAGTACGTGATTTCCACTATGGTAGCACGGGCGTAATATTAGTAGCCGGTAATATTTTTCAACATTTGGTATCGATATTGCTTCTATGTTTTCCTGTGTATTCGCAGCTCATGCAAGATCCGCTTCCCCCTCAGTGTCAGTGGAGGAATTGCCATGCACTGTTTGATTCCTACAGTGAAGT